CTAACTAACATTAGGCAAGTAGTAACACTAGCTTAGGTCGATAAAAACAATTAAGTTTGACAATATCAATTGAAAATAAACAAATGAATTTTGTTTGAATGAAACCCCTTCCAATCCAAAAAGTGATGTTGAGCTAACAATGCTCCGACATTGACCAAGTTGACAACATCTCAATCTCAGTTGAGTTGATAATGTTTTAACCAAAATTGAACTGAGGATGCACGCAAGCGAGAACGGGAGTATGAAAGCTTTCAAATTCTTACTTTTTAGGTATGATTTTTATTTTTAAGTAATCAAATTACCCTAACATGTTTAAAGAATTTCTTTTCCTTTCAAAATTTCTTGCTCAAACAATATATTGTCTTAGAATATTTCAAATTCTCTATAAATATAATTACGCTCTAAAAATTCACCATTTAAACATTATTTAGGATTTATGAACTTCTAATGGATAAAGACCAGTTTAGAAGATCTGAAATTTGAGTGGAATAAACCTGAGACTACTGATATAATAAGTCACACTCATGTTGAAGTATACATACACTTCATGAAAGCTGGATAATGGGACACTTTCATTGTGCCGTTTGGAAATCAGCATGCAGATGTAGTGTTGAAAGGATGGAGTGGTGCTACTTTTAGATGTTGTTAAGTTGGGAATGAATCATATCCGCCTATCAATTTGAGAGTTAGAATCTTCGAGGATTGGCCTGAATAGAATATTTTTGGAATCCTGACCCATATCTTTAGAAATTAAAAGTATGTACAGTAGTTTAGGAATTTCCTTTTAGATCTTTTATTCTATTTAAAGAGAAATTGTGGAAATTGTAGAAGTTGTGGCATAATTGGTGTGAAGATTTCATAAATGTAGAGGTAGTTGAATGAAATTGTGACTTTCTGAGATAAACTAGTTGTGGAAAAAAAATTGGGTGGTGGCAAATGCCGCACTAAATATTAGAACGAATTTATATTGGCAATAAAGTTCAAGATCATTTATTGTCGTATTGAATCACAACAACTATCTTCTCTAGTAGTCATAATATGAATGAACGTGAAATAACTAGGGTAATCCTTTTTAGTTGTGCAAAGATGTACCCGTGGCATCAAATTACTCCATCAATATATATTTAATTGGTCCTCCCATACCACACTTTGCTTTCAAAATGACTCTTAATGATATCAAATTAGTAGTTGAAGGACAAAACTGATGGAATTATCACTGGATGACCAATGTGATGTTTCTTGTAACATCCCAAAATATAATATAAAACTATATAAGATCCATCACATAATCAATAAAACGAGAACAATCGACAAAGGCTGAAAAATAAAGTTATCTATCGTCCATATTCATAACTATAAATTTAAAACTTTATTTACAACATCACTAATCAAAACTATATACAATACGACTAACTAAGGCTAGCTAACATAGTAGCTCCTCCATGTTAAACGCCAGCTGCAGAGAAGTCTCATCATCCTCTATTCACAGACACCCTCGTATGATCATAGCAAAGAAAGAATCACATGAAACAACAACAAAGACACAGTGAAAGGGTTAAGCTAGAGTAAAAACAGACACCACATTCTAAAACAATTAATACATCAACATGAAGTACAATTTCAATACAAGGAATCACACATACTACACATTTAACTATCAATAGGCTTGACTCATCCGGATATAGTATGAATGTCAAACTAGGATAGCTTATGCACTTGTAATGGTAATACAGCTGGCCTACCCAAGCTACCATACAAGGTTAGTCCGTAAATGTCTTTGACCAAGATAAAGCCGTTAGACTTGATCTCCTGCTACTCTCCACGACATAACCAACCACCTCTACTTGAGTTGGGATTATTGAGAGTGTCAGGATAAACTCCCAGTACAAAGCTCTATATATTCATACAACAAACAACCAGGGCCCCACCATGGAACCAATCCCCCGCCCCCCCCCCCCACCCCCCCTCAAAAAACTGGTGCAATGGCACCCAACAGGCACTATCAGCAAACTCTTTTAGACCACTTTGTACACATCTCTCACAACTTTGAAAAGTTCCTAGGACCTTCTAAACACTATGAAACTTTAGAAAACACATCTCTAACTAAAAATGACCATTCAAAACCCAATCTCACTTACCTAAGCTACCCAAACTCAATTCCACCTTTTCTAACTTCCATATCAGCAAACCAACATCATGTACAGTCATAATACACCAAATAACTCGCTCCAACATCCCAGTTTACTCCCAAACTTGCTGTTTCAAAATCTCACCATACAAAACCTCATTTTTGACCAAAAACACCTAATCACTCTCTCCAACATGCCCATAAACAGTTCTACAAACCAGAATTTCTTTCTCTTCTTCTTTGGCAGTCTAGACAATTATAATAACTGGCCCATAAAACATTCTACACCAATTTTCTTCTTTTGGCAGTCCTAGACCAGTCATAATAGGTCTCCTAATCAATTCCCACTTTTCCAAAAACTTCCCAACCTTTACCTTAATTCTCACTAGCGTGCAAAACACCCTTTTTAACTCAAAAACAACTCAACTTCAACAATGGACTACCCCCTTTCTGCACATCATTTTTTACCCATATAACATCATTTTTTCAGCAATGGACTACCCCCTTTCTGCACTTCAACAGTCCTACAATAGTTGTTCTCTCACACTAACCCCTGTTTCCCAAATTCATCTATTAAAACCTCCTTTTTAGGCATAAAAACTCAAGTAAAAAACCCTCCCTCAATACCATAACAGATTGGACAACATTTAACATCTAACAACAAAACCTTCACACTAGATTCAGTTCCAAATTAACTTAGCAAAATTCATACAAACTCATCCAATCCGAAAGCAACATTCCAAAGCACTTCAAATTCATAAATACCACTTTCACAAAACAATTCAACCACATGCATTTATTTCATAAACCGTTGTTTTTGAATTTTTGTTTCTGGTGGGTGAGAAGCTTATTGCGGCTACATGGTTACTGTTTACTCAAATTTTACTTAGCGGGGTGAGGGGAAAAAAATATTTCCGTGCTAACTGATTGGCTATTTTTCTCTATCAATCTCTGACATTTTCCTATATTTAGGACACGTGTTATGCCTCATTTCTAATATTCTCATGTGTTCACTTTTGAATATATTATTTGTTTGTTATCCTTAGGTTGGTTTCTCGGCCGAGAGAAAGAGGTATACCTGTGGATGTATTCATATATTGGATGCTTGCATCGAAAATTCCCAATTTGGAGTTGTTAGATCATCTCATGTTCCTGTCCCAGTGGTGCATGCTCTCGTGGGAGTATACTCGACAGCAGAGATCCTCAATAGCCCGTGACTGGGAGACGTAATTTTGCAAGCCAATTAACGTTGTAACTACACTTGTAAAATAAGTTAAACTATAGGAATTTTCTTTTGTTTGTAAACTAGTTTGTTTTGTTTTTGTTGTACTTCTACAAACGTGCAAGAGTTAATATAGGAGAGGAGGTTTTTCAAGGTTAGGGTTTTGCTCTTAAATTATTTACTTGAATAGGGGTCAAAAGCGCCACAAAGGGGACTACCAACGCAAGTGGTTATTTACGAGGTTTATATTTCAATAACTTTGAGGCTTTCCTGTTTAATATCCTTTACTTTTAAGTATTTCACATAATTTGAGCATAGAATAAAAGTTTGAAGATATAAATAGATTTTATCAATGACAATATATAATCTGGATATTTTCATTTGGTTTAAAACCACCGAAAAGAGAGAAAAGTCTGGATGAAAGAGTTGAATCCACTGTTCTTACTTTCTGTGCTCATACCTGAAAAGAATGTGGAAAGTCTGATTTAAATGTGACACAATAATGATACTAATTTTTATGATAATTTTCAAAGGCTTTCTCCTAATCAATTATGTTGCAACATAACTTTTATCTAAATAAGTTTCCTTTTCACTTATTTTTAACCTTTTGTTTCTCTTATTTTCTTTTCCTTTACAACAAATGAATAATGAGTCTCAGAAGATTCCTTTTTTCCTATTTATTGATCCTGAATGTCTCGAGTAGATTCCTCCACCTTAAAACTTTACAGGCACCTGGAAAAGTCGATTATTATAATCTTTTGCTTTCATTCGTCGCCAGTCGTCAAAACAATTTTCTATTATTGGTATTGTTTACATACGAGATAGTTTTCCATTATAGCATATATTTTTAAAAAAAGAGAGAGAAATGTATTAGTAAATCTGAGAAATAATATTATTTCATCGTTACTGTTTGCATTTACGCTATTTTTTTTTAAAATTCATTTCCCCATAGGCATTAAAAAAAAAAGGTTAGTCAATGGAGTATTAAGTTTTTTTTTAATCAATAAATATTACTTGTTAATATTTTGTTCAAAATCATTTTTATCATCTTTCATTCTAAACCATCTTATAATCCAAATGTTAATCATCTTTCATTCTAAATTCGTCAAGCTAACCTTATAAACCAAATGTTAAAAGAGAGAGTTGAACTCGTTTTCACCTTCTTTTCCAACTTATAAGTCTTTCAATGAAGTATTAATGATATTCTATTTGAGATTAGCCATGTTATTAGAACGTTGCCTGGAAAGAGTGGGGCACTGCCTACGTGAAGATAATAGAGAATATATCTAAATTGAATATTTGAAAATCGTTGCACACCATAATCGAAAGATCAGTAATTGCAATCCTTGAAAAGAAATTGCATGTGTACAACAAAAATGTTCTAGGAAAAAAATATATAAGAGAACAAATATGAAATAAGACCAGTGATGTACAGTAACCTTAAGACGCATACGCATTAGCAGCAATAAGTGAGGACCATTTCAGGTGATTTTGGTGATGGTAGATAAGAAGTTTAATCCATCAAACGATATCAATTCTTATTTGAATCGAGATTTGTGACATCTACCCTTGAGAGATGTTAACCACCAGGATAAATTGACCCTGAAGCTAATCTATTGATAACACATTCTCAAATTTCCTACCAGAGAATTAAACTGCATCATTCCATAGTATCAGGACCTGTAACAGCAGATCATTCTCATTCCATTTCCTGAAAAATCTGCACCCATATGTTTCTTCTTGTTCTCCTTTTTCTTGCTTTTGAACATGACCTAGGAACCTCGGAATCAGTAGTTTTCCAAGTGCAGCTGCCAAAGCATGTTGGCTTTTTCATGTTGGAAGGGGTTATCTGCAAGACAAGGAAACGGCCCTGTAATGTAATGATAAATTCAGAAACATCGTTTACAAAAATGGGTAAAAAATCAAGCATAACGGCCCTTATGTTAGCAAAAGATGAAGATGAAGTTTTGATGATGTCCAAATCAAGTCAAGAGAATCAAAAAGAAAGAAAAAAAAAAAAAAGATCAAGATGTTATGAAGTCCTTGTTATTGGTCTAGGAAAGCTTTTGTAAATACTGGTAGTTTATTGTCTAGGACTTAAGATTTAGTGTTTTGATTCCATGTAATTTTATCTTATATAAGTAATGTCCGAGTCAAATATCGCACTTTTAATCGATTAAAAACAATTATTAATCGATTAACAGAGGCTGGCCCTGCAACCCAAGCGCCCTAGAATATCGATTAAAGTTGTAAAAAAAAAAAAAATAATAATCCGATTAGCTAATAATCGATTAATCTTGAGAATAATCGATTAACACTGACCGTTGGGGTTTTCAGATTTGAAAAACTAGCCGTTGTAGTACTGCATTTTAATCGATTAATACTTATGTTAATCGATTAAATGCGTTAGATGGCCCGTTTTCGATGAATGGAAGAGTACTTTGGCTGAGCCTAATAAGATGCTCTCTGTTGATCTCAAAATAACTCTTCCTTGTCTCTAGTACTCAGAAATCATTGATACTTGTGTGTTTCTTGTTCGGCTTGTGAAACTCGTGTCTTGGAGCTGGTGAAAGTGCTGCTACGGTGACAGAGGAAATAGCCGGTTCATCCTTAGGTGGTGTCTGAGGAGGTTGTTTCGAAGAGAAGTTCATCCTTCGTGAACTATGCGGAGGAGGGTTCATCCTTGGTGTGTCTAAGGAGGTGTTCGGAAGAGAATCATCCTTCGTGAAGTATTCGGAGGAGTTGTTCATCCTTTGTGAAGACTCAAAGGAGGTGTAGGTTCATCTCTTGTGGTATCAAGAGAGGTGGTTTCTAAACTTTTACAAATTGTGTTTCTTGGTGATTATAATTTGTATTTGTTTTTGTGTTAGTGAAAAAGGTTTATCTGTTTGAGATAAAGCGACTGGACGTAGGATTGGTAAGATCCGAACCAGGATAAAATCATCTGTGCAAATTTCCTCTCTTTCCTTACTCTGTCAGTTTATATTTTCATCATTCGCCCCATTAAGAAAATTAGAGAAAAATATTAAAAGGCAAATAAAAGATCTAACAATTCCCTCACTCATTCACCCCCCCTCTGGTTTGTTATCACGCTAATAATTCCGCTGCAGCGATTCTAACAATTGGCATCAGAGCTTGCTTTGATAGTCATTCAAATGGCGGATCACATCAAACTTTTGCAGAGGGTGCATCATCAATAGACCCCCACTATTCACAGGTGGAACTATGCATTCTGGAAGGTAGAATGCCAAATATTTATTGAATCTTATTGATTTTGTGAAATTTTGGGATGTTATGCGTCTGGTTTCTTCTGTTCTACTAACAAGATCAGGAACCAAAGCCCCGTGTCAATGGACCATTGACGAAAAAAAAGATGTCAATGCGTAAAAGCTCGGATATATCATTGCATCATCATTGACTGTTGATGAGTTCTACAGGGTTTCTGTCTGCAAAAATTGCTCAAGAAATGTGGATGTGCTCAGAGTGACACATGAATGGAACAGATGACGTAAAGAGGGCAAGAAAGGAACTCCCTAATTCAAGAGTATAAATTCCGGATGAAGCAAGGAAAACAATTTCCGACGTTCAAAAACGCTTCACCACCATTGTCAATCATCTCATTGGACTATGTAAGTCTTTGGATACTGATGAATTACCATTCAAATCCCTTGAAGTCTTTAGACAGTCGTGGCAACCTAAGGTGACTGCAATCTCGTATTCACAAACCTCAACAACCATGACTATGGGCGTGCATTAATTTGGAAATTTGGAGAGCATGAACTTGACCTCGGAAGACTAGATGAAGAAGAAGCAAAAGCAAAAACTAAGAAAAAGAGTCTAAGCCTTGAAATCTGAGGTGGACAGGACAAAGCAAAATGGAATGATGAAGATTCGAAGATGAAGAAAATTTGAGACTCATGATCAAAGGCTCAACAGGTTCATGAAATCAAAAAGACAAAGGAAGATTAAATGCGAAAAGAAGAAAATCAAGGATCTTCCCACACTTAAACTGTTAATGGTTTGCTGGCGAGAAATGGGGCACTTAAAGCAACTGCCCAAATCAAAGAAGAATGAAGAAATAAAGGAAAGAAACACTTCAAGAAAAAGAAAGCCTACATCGCATGTGACGAGACAAACGAACAATTCCGATTTGAGCGAATCTGTGAGAAGCAAACCCCAAAAATCGTTTAGTGGTGAACGCGAAGCTTGGAATCCAAGTAAGTCCATCTGCGATTCTGATAATATTTCAATTAGTGAAGATGAATTGCATGAAACTTATGCTGCTTTAATAGTAGAATCTGAAAAATTAGATAAAGCTCATAAGAAATTGAAAAAATGATTTCAAAAAATTTTAAAATTAAATTTTGAAAATATTTGTGAAGAAAATAAAGATTTGAAAAATAAGTTTTATTTTTTAAAAACGGGTAATTTAACTAGTAGTGGTGAATGTCTTCTGTGAAAATTTTAAGAAACTATAGAAACACACAACCTTTGAGGAGAATGTAAGTAAAAAATAACGAAAATAATGGTTGTTAAAATAAGTATGTTCCTAAAATTAAAAATAACATAAAGAATAGAACCCTTAGAACATGGGTAAAAAGGGAACAACTTAATAGGAACACAACTTGTATCATGTTTTATTGTAGGAAAAAGGGTCATACTTCAAATAAATGTACATTAGCATGAATGGTGTTCCAAGCCAACGTGGTAGATCTGTTTGGGTTGTAAATGATTTCTTTTTTCTAAATCTAACCCAAAGGACCCATAAAGTAGTTTGGGTACCTATTGTTTATATTTAGAATTTCTTTAAACAAAGAAAATTTTATTCCACAAGGCCCGATGAAACTATTTTTTTGGTATTTTCTTAAATATAACAAGCTATATAGTTTTCAATCGGAAAAATTTTTATGTGTGCATGTTGTCTTTTGATGAAATTGTAGACCTTGAGCAAAAACCTCTTGAGTCAGTTTGAATTACATGCAGGCAATGATGAAATTTGTAGAAAGACAACAAATGAGTCAAAGAAAATGTGACAATCCCAAATGAAGATCTAAAAAAAGTTGAAACACCTCTAGGATTATCATTACGAAGTTGGAGGCATATTACAGGGTAAACATAGAAGAGATCTAGGAATGTTAGAATATCGTAGGAATTGTTTTTTTTAAAAAAAAAAAAAAAAAAAAAATTCCTATCTTATATAATTCAATATATGGATTAAAATGTTTTTATAAGTTCTTTATCCCCCCCCCCCAACATCCCCCCGCCACCCCCCCCCCCCCACCCCCCCCCCCCCCCCCACCACCCCCCCCCCCCCCCCCCCACCTAAAATATTTTGCTTTATAAATCCTTTTGTGCATTGTTGAATAAATCGTAAATTAAAATAGTTTTAGTAAGCTCATATGCATACTTGGCTTTTATTAAGGGGAGTATTATCGTAGGAGGAGAACATCAAACACAACTTTTTATTATGATCAAAAATGGGGGAGAAAATGTTTAAACGTATTTGCCTATTTGTGCTATTTGTGCTTATTTACTAATGCACTTTTTCTTCCATAAAAAGTAAGTTGTGTTTTAAAATCCAGATTTTACTAAAAGCTTTAAATCAGGATTTTGATCATCATCAAAAGGGGGAGAATTTTTAGCAAAATGATGACGATGAGTTTGATGGATGCAAATCAAGTCAAGAGAAATCAAGATTCAAGATGTTATGAGTCTTGTATTGCTATGGAAAAGCTTTTTGTAATAATTGGTAGTTTAGTGTCTAGACTTATATTTTTAGTGGTGTTTTGCTTCCATGTATTTTATATTATATAATTAATGTCCAGAGTCAAAAATCGCACTGTATTATCGATTAAAACAAGTATTATCGATAAAACAGAGGCTGGCCCTGAAAACCCAAGCGTCCACTATAATAACGATTAAAGTGTATAATAATCGATTTAGCTAATCGATTAATCTTGAGAATACTCGATTAACCACTGACCGTTATGGGGTTTTCAGATTTTGAAAAACTAGCCGTTGTAACCATTTTAATCGATTAATACGTATGTAATCGATTAAATGCGGTTTAGATGGCCCCTTTTCGATGAATGGAAGAGTATTTGGCTGAGCCTATAATATTGCTCTCTGTTGATCTGCAAAAATAACTCTTCCCTTGTGCCTCTATACTCAGAAATCATTGGAGACTTGTGTGTTTCTTGTGCGCTTGTGAAACTCGTGTCTGTGGAGCTGGTGAAGTGCTGCTACGGTGACATAGGAAATAGCCGGTTCATCCTTGGTTGTGTCCTGAGGAGGTGTTCGGAAGAGGAAGTTCTCCTTCGTGAAGTATTCGGAGAGGTGTTCATCTTTCATCCTGGTGTGTCTAAGGAGGTGTTGCGGAAGAATCATACTTCGTAAGTATCGGAGGAGGTGGTCATCCTTGTGAAGACTCAAAGGAGTGGTAGGTTCATCTCTTGTGGTATCAAGAGAGGTGGTTTTCTAAACTTTTACAAATTGTTGTTTTCTTTGTGATTCTAAATTTGTAATTGTTTTTGTGTTAGTGAAAAAGGTTTATCTTTTTGAGATAACGACTGGACGTAGGATTGGTAAGATCCGAACCAGGATATAAATCATCTGTGCAAATTTCTCTCTTTCCCTTACTCTGTTCATTTATATTTAATCATTCTGCCCAGTACGAAAAATTAAGAGAAAATCATAACAAGGCATAATAAAAGCATATAACCAATTCATTCACCCCCTCTTGGTTTTGTGATCACGCTAATATTCCGCTGGGGGCAGCGATTCTACACTTTATTTTCAATACATTTTTCACAAATCACATTTTTCTGTTCTTTTATTTTGAGTGTAACTTCTCCCTAAAATTTCAGACATATTAAGTACGAGTCTTTAAAAAAAATTGCACTATTTCTATTTCTCCAAAATTTAAATATTTCTAGAAGTTCTTTTATTAGTAATAATAATAGATAAAAAGTTATTCTAATGATAAATTTAACAAGAAAATTTTACAATTAAAAGTAATTTATTGCATTCAGACTTTGGTCAATATATTTTTTCCCATTTATCGGCATTACTAACAAATACTTAAAAAAAACATATTTAAATTTTAGATAAAAATAACAAAACAAAATGTTTATAAGAAATATACTTAATATTTTAAAAAATTTCCGTGATCGCAAAAATGTATTTTACCTTTATATACAATGTGTGTCTCAAACTGATTTTGTAGCTTTCTATTATTTTTCATTAATTAATAACTCATTGGTTTGTAGCTTTCAATTTTTTTAATCAATCAATAAAGCGTCTCAAAAATCTCTCATAAAGACGCTAATTAAAAGTTTAAAGAAGGAATTCAATTCGTTGAAAATTATATAAGAACACATTTTTGTAAATTTCTAACATCAAGTAAGTTATACAGTGTTTGGAGTCCATCATAATCCCTACTAATCTTTAATGACAGATATAAAAAAGAAGTTACTAGTTCCATCCATAAATCTGAAAAGGATGAATAATTTGACAAGGTTGGCTCATAGAAAAACTCTGATATTAACTAATAATGTATGGTACGAAAGATAATTAAAAGAAAAATGGTATGCACCCTCTTTCACTCATAAATTTAAGATGATATACAGAATGAATGTGTACCTGGGTTGGTGGTTGAAGATTGGTGTTTGTAACCCACTTGGAGAATGAAGGTGCTGATAATGCTCCTCTTGCAGATTCACGTAGCAGATGAGAATAGCTAAGCAACCTTGCTCTTCTTCCACATCCCATACTGATAGGGCCATGAATCTGATACTGATGTTGAATTGAAGATGATCTCTTCTTCCTAGGCTTCTCAACGTATACCCTCACTACAACCTTTTTGTCATTGCAGAAACTTACCTATAAATCATATCACATATCAAACTCATATATCACACACACCACAAAGCCACTCACACAACATCAACAACTCATTTACCTGTTTCGTTGGCATCTTACGATAATGGAGGATGCCAAGGCTTTATGACAATTTACATAACCATATATATATATATATATCTATATATATATGCATGATGCAGGCCTAGGACCAGGAATGTTACTGATAGATTACCAAGGTTTATGTGAATTTATAAGTATATGTGTTTTCTTTGGGTGGAACGAAATTCCATTTGAGGAGATTATCAATTTATTTATATCGTGATCTCTTCTATGATTGGGCCCAGTTTATGGTGCAGCGAACACCTCAGCTTAACCGGGATTATATGGGCAGTTGTTGCTTTGCTTTTGTTTTCCCTCAACAAACATTCATTTGATTATTACATTCACCCACCTCCACACATCTGTTTAAAATACTTATCTGTACTATTGATTCCTTATTCTCTTTTTTTTTAAGGTATTTAGAAAATGTTTCAAGTGACTAATTGAACTTCCTAAATCATATAATATTGCAATAATTAAATATATATATGTTACCAGTTTATTTAAATGATATTTTTGGGTCCTTGGCATTGTAATTAATTGGACAGTTCATGCCACGGTAACTATGAAATTAATGCAAACTTAATTTTTAAAGATGCCCTACTGGGCCTCTTCAGTTTTTTAATGAAAAATTAAATATGACTATTTTTTGCATTGTATTCTAACTACACCCCATATATTTAAAAAGATAATCTGGCTCTGCGAGTATTTTATGGTGAGGGTCCTGGTCCCTCCTTCATTAATAATTCCAGAATTCTGGATTGTATCTCAAAATATATAATGATTTTTTTATTTTAAAAATAATTTTTCAAATATATATAAAAAAGAAGTTCTATATTGTAATAAATTCAATTTTTTTTTACTGGTACCTATTACAAAACGCACAACAATTGTTTTACTAGTAATTGTTAAGTATGTAAAAGGATATTAGACAATCAAATATTATGTTAGTTATAATTTAGATATTATTATAATTTGTGTAGATTTGTATACTTGTTATTCCTTTAATATATATGGTACTTTACTTTTTGGAATAACATATTAGAATTATTCTTTAAACCTTATTTTATATGGTATCAAGAGTCAAACACTTATATCCTCTACAATATAGGAATCAATGTTTCTTTTTTCATTGAATATTTTTGATGGTTTCTTCGGATAAAAATCAATCGGAAAAACATGATTTTGAGACTTCCGCTGCTACCCTTATGCACGAATCGCTCACCCTTGAACGACTTGATGGCACCAACTATGTTGAGTGGTCTTTGAACGCACAAAACAAGATCAGAGGCAGAAAACGTTGGGGTTACATCTCTGGAACAAAGGCTACATCAGAAAACAAAAAATCTGATGAATATGAAGCATGGGAAGATGAAAACTTCCTAGTCAAGTCTTGACTTTTGGACTCCATGACGAAATAAATTAGATCCCTCTTTATTCACTTAGCTACAACAAAGGACATCTAGGACACTATGCATCAAACATACTTTGTCAACCGGGATGTGTCCCGATCATATCAATTATATCGTGAGGTAATCTCTATTAAACAAAATGGAGGATTTGTTATTACATATTTTAGTAAATTGCAAAGATTATGGCTAGAGTATGATACTATCACGAATTGTACCATGGAAATGTCCTAAGATGTTGAGAAGTATAATAGGATGATTAATTTCTCAACGAGTTTATGTTTTTTTGGCTGGCCTGGATACACATTTGGATGTCGTTTGTGGTCGTATCCTTGCTACCACTCCCCTTCCAAATGTTCAATTTGTTTATGCAACTGTTTGTGTTGAGGCAAATCGCCAAGAGGCTATGCTTGATAGTGAGTCTAGTATGGGAACTTCCTTTATTGTTAAGAAGTTTACTAAGAAAGGAATCCACAAGTGTAGCCACTACAATGGGGATAATCATGTCATGGAGACATGTTTTTAAACTCCCAAAATGGGGGGGCTATCCGAATTGGCATCCAAAAGGCAAACTACTCTACTTCCCAATGCCAAGGTAGAAGCTGCTTCCAGAGTCATTTCTACTGTTGTGTTGGATTTGTGACCCAGTCATATATCTAACTCTGATCTTAATTTTTCTGTTATACTAGAGATAGTAATTGGATAAATGATTTAGGTGTTACTGACACTATGACATGTGATCCTCAACAAATTTACTAGATATTTTTTTTGGTTGGAGAATCGAATGTTGGAAAAAGAACTATTGTCCAAAACCTTTGTTTCCACTACTGATTGTGCTTCCACGATTCAAAGCACCCTTTGATTTATGAATTTAAATAATTTTAACTTTTTTATGTCACACGTAGACTTCGATAATAAAACTTATGTTTAAAGAATATTCTTCGGTTAAGAATCGAAACCTAAAATCTTCATTTTTTTTATCTCACCTTAATATACTTCTACTTAATATACTTCTATTGTAGAAATAAAGTAGAACCTCTAAAATTTCCAAAATAACTTGTGTCAAATTTCTTTTCTCTATTAGTGAATAATAAATAAAAAAAGTAAAAAAAAATGATTAAAATATGTTTTTAGTTCTTAAATTTTAATACAAAAACTTTGATATAATTTAGTCCTTAAATTTTATAAATAAATTAATATAGTTCTTATAACTTAATTGCGTTAAATTTTTTGGATGTGACAAATAACATTTCAGGTTAGTATTTTTGTTGTTTACACCATTTTACACATTCTAACTCAAATGTCAACTTGAAAAATTATTTAACACGTAAAAAAACATTAATATTATTAAATTTTGAGGATTATATCTATTTATTTTAAAGTTCGAGATCATAATGTATCAAAATTTTGATCGAGGACTAACTCTAATTTTGCATCCAAGTTTAAAGACTAAAAACCTATTTAATAAAAAAAATATAAAGAAAAAGAAATTGGAAAATGTAAAAATAAATAAAACTTCCAATGAAAACTTTGATATATAAATTTTTTTTATTTATTTACAAGTTTATGTTAGAAATTTAACGTTGAATAAAAATAATGAAAAAGTTAAGTTACATATAAAGAAAAACAAAATTCATGGACATTAAATTTTAGGTTGAAAATGATCAAATTTTTACATCATCTCAAAATTGAAATCTTTCCAATCAATTTTAGTATATAAAATTTTTAGCTATAGTATCAAAGTTTGTTTCATCTTGATGTTTGAATAAGGCAAATATGTTTTATTGTAATAATAACTAATGGCAATTGAGATTGAGATTGGTGATATCAAGTATATCTTATGAAGAATTCATATTAATCTTTTTGCTTTAACTCACTTATACCTTAGAATATATCAATCTTTCAATCTAATCCAGTATAAAAATTCTTTCTATTATATTGTTTTTATTATGATAAATAAATTGTAATTGTCACAATAAATTATAGTGAAATATTATGTTTATATTAATAGTGATGAAAATTTATAATTAAATAACTTAATTCAATGGTGAGTATATAGTATAAAAAAAATGTCCAAAATTCACTAAAAGATTTTTTTTTGTCGTTTTGTACCATAACGATAATAATTTCTTTGTCATTGATGAACATTCTCCCAGATCAAAAGTAATGATTATAAGGAAGACGAATAGATTTTTACCGAAAATCCTATTTTAATTATGTAAATTCATTTTTTGTGAATATGTATTATTAGACTTAATTGTCTTATTAATAGTTTTCATGGCAATATTATAAGAAAGACAACCTTTAATGCTAACAATATCATTATTACACAAAAAGACAAACATTAGGCTAGCAATACCATTAAAAAGAGGTTAGCAGTTGTTAAAAGGTAGACTTTATCCATTTAGAGACTTCACCATTACTTCGATACGTTTCTATTAACGTCACACTTTATTATTATATAAAAAATTCGATATTCTTAACGTATTTATTTAAAGTATCCTTATTACTTTAATTATTTAAAATGTAAAAATAAATATATGTAAAATTAGGAATTGATAAAATTAATAAGTTTTCTAAAATTTGAAGATCATATCATAAAAGAATGTAAAACATAACAACGAATTAAAAATTTAAACAATATCAAATGTACAATTTTACTTATGCTTAAAAGAATGAAACAAAAAATGAAGTTTCTTTTTTCTATGATTAGAAGTGTTTTGTAAAAAGGTAATCCATTTTTAGTGGCTAGCGTTTATAAGGTGGAAGAATTAATTTCTCAAATTCAATTTTTTTTTTTATACATTATAGATAACATACCGTTTTTTTATAACTTATACAAAAGTTAAATTTTATCAACCTAACAAGTTATTGAAGGTTTTTAAACAAAACATATCAAGTTTATTAAGTTCTAAATGTACTGTAATATTTTAGCGAATAATATGATACTTGAATTTTAAGAAAAACTTATATTTTAAAATGTAATGTTTTTTTTATATTAAAAAGGAAAATTATAAAAAAATTTAAAAGCACGTGAAATAATTGATTATCACGTTACTTTAATATCCAATTTCATTAATGGTGAAGTCTCTAAATGGACAAACTCTACCCGTTAACAACTTTCTCCTAATATAGTAAACATTTGATTTGAAAACCAATAAACTTTTTATCATTGTACTAAAAATAAAAACTATTAAACTATTTTGTGTAAAAAAATATTTTACCCATGACCAACAGTTACATACTTTAATCATATTTAAATCGTAATATTATATTAATACGAAACAAATTAATTGTAGTTTAAGTTTCGTAATTTACAGGGAACATTAACTTATACTTAAAAAAAAAAATCTTTCATTAAATATAATTTTTTATTGAATTATTACATAAATTTGAAACTTTATGAAAAGCAATAACCTTAATCTGTTCAATAAAGAGTTTAACAAAACTAACAAAGTTTAAAATATATGAAGAGTTGTTGATCGGATGAGCTATACTTAAAATAGGTTAACTTGTCTTTTAATCATTAGACTGGAGATGAAAATAAAATAAAAAAGAAATATTTTAAGCATCGTTATGAAAATAAATCAATGTCTCTTATCTCTCAATATAATTTCAACTTTGATATTTTTTAATATTATGATATTTAGGTATACTTTCTTAAACC